ATAAGTAGATAAGCGTACACGAATAATACGTAAAATATGTCAATATAATATGTATACATATGTGAGGCTCCTGTCTCTCACAATTTAAATTTTGTTAACTCTGTGCCTTAAGTTTGTATTTATTTGCTGTGAGAGAAAATAAATTATTATTATTATTATTATTACTCTCAGATCCTTCGTAGATACTCAATAATCTTTTCTTCATATATGTTTTCTTCAGGCGGGTTTCGCAATATATCGGTAACTTGTGAATGACTTGCTTACCCAGTTTCGGGATGACAAGATGTTATTTCGATGCGTCGTTAAATCTTTGGTTATGAAGTAACGCTACCAAATTCGCAGTTAATCTTGCCAAAATTCAAGATCTTTGAGGATACACTCATATGCGTAATTATTTTCCGGATTTTCCATTTTTCACTACAGCATAACAGTTTGATTCATTTAAATGCACTCGCGAAACTTATATGAGCTAACCAGCAGGCACTTCGAAGGAAAACAAACAGTAGTACTTTTTAAACATCAACGGGTCATAGTAATGATATATTATAGATCGTAAATCACTGAGTCCAAGGTAAGTATTACAGTTCATACAGTACGTATATTACTATAATTTACAATACGTGTTAACTAAATGTCTAGGCTAATTTAGGTTACTTAATTACGAAATTCGCAATACACTTAAAACATAAATACCCCAGAAAAATACCCCATGCCCCTAATTGATGACCAGTTAGATATGATGGGCACTATGAGTTCAACCGGGTACCATTTGGGCTCGCCAATGCACCTGCTACTTTTCAGAGACTGATGAATCAGGTTCTGGGCAGTAGTGGTGCATTGGCATACTTAGATGATGTCATTATCTCATCCAAGAGTATATCTGAAGGACTGGCAAAATTGCAGAATGTGTTACAGTTATTTAAAGAACTAGACTATCATTAAAATTATCTAAATGTAATTTTTATAAACGAAGTGTCGAGTACTTAGGGTTTGAGGTGTCTGAGAACGGAATTCACCCAGGGACTAAAACAGTTGAAGCTGTTGAGCATTTTCCTACACCACAAAATCAACATAATGTACGCCAGTTCTTGGGATTAGCTAGTTTTTTTCGGCGCTTTGTACCAAAGTTTGCTATCATAACCAAGCCATTGACCCATTTGCTAAAAAAGAACGTACAGTGGGTATGGGATCACGATTAAGAGACGGCCTTTGGGACTTTGCCAAAGGATTTGTCTCATAAACTTGGTCTAACAATCTACAATCCAGAAGCAGAAACTGAATTACCCACAGACGCTTGTAAAATCGGTTTGGGAGGAATCCTTCTGCAAAAAGACATTAACCATGTTCTAAGGCCAATCGCATATTTCTGTAGACAGACGACACCGGAAGAACAAATTTATTCATCCTACGATTTAGAAACTAGCAGTAATATCAGCACTTCAAAAATTTCGAATCTATTTAATCGGCATCCAATTTAAAATCGTGACTGATTGCAATTTCTTAAAAGCAACGTTCCAAACACGGGATATGCTTCCTCGTGTCGCATGATGGTGGGAACAAATGCAAGAATTTAACTTTGTTATTGAATTTAGACCTGGAACATCTATGTCCCATGCCGATGCACTTAGCCGCAATCCAATCCCTAGTTCAGACAGTTTTAATGTGTTAACAGTTGTAGACTCTAACTGGTTAGTAACGATACAGAAAGCAAATGACGACATTCAAAGAACAATTTGGATTCTTCGGGATCCGGATCTTGACAATTACGTTAACATTAAATCAAATTTTAAACTAAAAAACGATAGACTTTTTCGTATTTTCCTGATGGTGATCGGTGGGTTGTGCCAAAGGGCGTACACTGGCAGATCTTAAAACAAAATCACGATGACATAGGTCATTTTGCTTATGAGAAAACTCTGGAAAAGGTTAAATC